TGTGGTGACTTCGTAAAAACTCAGGAGATGCTATGACGGCTCAGTCTCTCGAAGGTGCTCATAGGGGTAGGGTTTGCATGCATGCGTTCATAGGGATGAGTATATGCTCGTGCATGTGTTTGATTGTACTATGTTAAAAAATGAAGATGGGAGGCAAATGTTCTTAAAGATGTACAAACTTATCTCATATGTTTACGATTCCATCAAGAATATACGAAAGACAACAAAATAGTTTTCTGCTTGTTTAATAACCATTAACTTATAGGGTAATCACCTGCATAATTGACAGTTATAATATGGAACATATGGTCCTAAAGCACTAGCATGATAAACTGATATCGTGTACAATATCTAAATACATGAATTAAATTAAGATATTTAAAACATAAAAACTATTTTGGATAACTAATGTGCCAAAGAGTGCAAATCCTAACCATGCTAGCTTGTTTGCGGCAACACCCGGATCTAACAAAACTTGCTTAGCCATTGCCGGCTGGCCGCACGCCATGGAATTAGGATAGTTCCCTCTATCCTCCACCTCTTCATATGACCAGGGGAGTGCAATTAGATCTAGGCTGGAGCACATGCAATGGCTGCAACACAAGCCACATGACGTTCATCGGCATGACCTCCGCTATTCCTCCACAACACAGTTTCCTAGAACGACAGCCCCTCTACCATTCAATGTGAACTTTGACTAACGATGACGATGCTGGAGGAGAAGCTGGAAGGCAGAAGGTCATGAAGGGGGATTGGTCGCCCGAGTTGCTCCACTCTTTCACTATTCCGTTGTAAATTAAAATATTCCTCCATGTAACACTTTCAGAATGGTCCATGATAAAATATATGATATTTAAGTGTTTTAATTTTGATTAGCTCCATTTTCACTTACAAATTATTATCAAAACAAAGCAAAAAATAAATTAATTTTTGCATGTAGGTCTCTTATCTTCAATGGTCTTTGTATGTAATTTTTTTAGTTTTTCTCCAAGTTATTGCCTTCGTAATAATAAGCCCCACAATTTTACCTCTTAACGTCTTCACAAATTTGAAGTTGAGCTTTATGCATTTTATCTATAAAAATGGTTTGTGAGGTTGAGAAGTCACAATTTGAACATGTTAAACTTTTATGCTTACTTTTAACTCATTTTTATCATATCACATTCAAACCTAATATTGTGTCGATAACTTATGACAACATGTGATTTGATAACGTTGTTAAATATTAATAACAAACTCATGTTAGATTTGTAATGTTCGTCGTTTAAAATATGCATGCGCCGTGCACAATTTAATCGTGTTTGTAGTACAAGTGAAATTAGATATTTTTGACACATTACACCTTAAAGATTTAAATCCAATCCCATAAATGAGAAAAAATAAGAACAAAAAATATAGTCTTGAATGTTATCGTGGATTCATTTGTGATACTTGTATAAACAGAGTTTATACATTTTTGCTATGAATTGATTGTCTCAAAAATATCCTGATAGGGATGTCTAGCTTATGATTAGGCTTACATGAATAGAAAATTCTAGAATAACAAAGGATAAATCAAAGGATAAATCAAAAAAATACAAATAAGAGGTAAAACTTCTTCTTTTGCAGGGAATTTATTAAAAAAGTCTATCCAACCCTTCCGAAATTGTATAAAACATGCAAAATTGATAGAATTAAAGTTGTCTTCTGGGCAAACAATTTTCTTAGGGGTTCTGTCACTATTATTTCATAGACGATATGGTTAATTACGTGACTAAAACTTCGAGGAGCTTACAACTATCACAACATGCTAAGGGTACCTTCAATTGCAGGATGCCTCCATTGACCAATGGAGTACCAACGTAATAGAAAACCCTTACAAGAAAAACCATCATACTGCCATTACCACCACTGTCTGACGAAAGCTTAAGACAGAACAAGAGACCTTACACATTGTACAACAAGGTTCAGGAGACTAAACCCTTAAATGTCCACCGCAAGCATTGGGGAGTACATCATTGGGATGCTAAGGAGGTTAGGTAGACTTACGCCAACCGGGATGCCATTGCCGCCTCTATATCGCTGCGAGGACGCACAAACAAAGATGTACGGAAAATGAGAGTAATCTGAAGAAGAACCGAGAAATCTTATGAAGTGGGACCCATGAAACAAACCTGGGACCCAAAAACCTGGGATTTTTTAAAAATGGACCCCGGGATGGAGGGGGAGGATCCTTATCTGAATATATTTCGAAATGTGGTATATTTAAAAGCTGCCACCCTAAGGCCAATGAGAGGTAGTCATGCTACACAGGAGTGTTATCCTTATGCATATACAATTTTCTTCTTAATGTAAGTGCAATTAAAGAAAGCAAGAAGTCTCTATGGTTCTCAGAATGCACACACTCTTATGCTTAGTAAAAACATAACATGTTCCATTTACATTTTAATTTCCTTCATGCATCACTTTTAGAATGGTCCATGATAAACATAGTATATGAAGTCTTTCGATGTCGATGGTAAAGATTATACTGCAATTTTTGTGAGTTGCACACACAAATTATTATCATACATGGCATAGCCAAAAATAAATTTAAGCACTTGTTGAATTTCTTCCATATAATGACAAGAAATTGTGTCAGATATTCACGTATATGGTTAATACCGCGGTGTTTCATATTTGGATTTATGGTATTTTTGATATACTGTGATTTTTTATAATATATTTTGTATTACAACATTATAAAAAAATTGTAATACATGATTTTTTTCATTAGATATATTACTTGTATCTTAGGGGAAGAAGGCAATAAAAATGTACATATCCAGATATATTTCAAAAAGTGTGGCATATTTTGTTTTGAAAAGATTCATTCATTTGTGAAAGATAGTGCATACATAAATGCTCAGAAAACACATGCACACATACACAACCCTATGAGCACCTTCGACATATTGAGTTGGCAGATTTTGAGATAGATGAAGTTGCCACAGACACCATGTAATTGACGCACACACGGTACCACTAATAAAGTAGTACCGAAAGCATGGAATAAAGTCAAGAAAATTGCAAGCACCCATGTCAAGTATAGCTATGCTCAGCTCGCTCGAAAAAAACATTAGTGAATATTGCACTACAAAAGTAGTAATATGGATGGCAACGACGATGATGTCAGTGGCCTATGAAAAACAGCAACATAAGACGATAATTAGTGATGTTGTGACAGGAAACATGATCTTTTTATTTGCAAAATACCATTGCCACACGATTAGAAACTCTCATGAGTAAGGAATACCTGCATGTTAGCTTTATATCCCGGAATTTATAAAAATCTAGAAATATGATTTTTCTAAGTTTATGAAGCGGAATTAAATCCCCTTCCTTTCTGTTTATTATGCATTTCATCGATCTCATACATATTTATCAACCGATTGATCCCATTCAGAAAAGAACATTTTAATGATCAACATTATACAACAGCCACAAGCAACATTATGTACTTGAGATACATAATATCAAGGTCAAGCTTCAAAATATCGGATATCGGGTTCGTATCGGTTTGGCTTCAACATATCGGATGTCGGATATCGGGGGATATATCGGGTGATATGTAGATATATCGGAGAAAACATGTCTATCTTTTCATTATTCTTGTTCAAAACATTTATTTTTAGTAAAATAAAATGTATGATTCAACACTTTAACATAACACTTTTAGATTTATAGTTTATTAACTTATTGATTAAGAAACTATTGTGGAAAGATTCACAAAATCCTTACTCTATGATTAAAAACCATACAATATATATGCATTTGTATGAAACATATTGTGCATGACTTTGATAATATATTATGAGGTTGTAAATTCATAATCTTATTTCACTCCTTTCCGGTAAGAATTGTTATAATCTACATATCGTTCTATATTAGTGGAAACAATGGCGGAGCCACCTCCCGGCTACCCGTGGCAGCTGCCCGGGCTCAGCCATGCATTCTTGTTTGAATAGGAGCAGTAAATGGAGGGCTAACCAACGATTTGTAGGGGCAAAAATCTGGCAGACAGGAACGCCGTGTACTTTGCCCCGGCTCGCCGGCCGAGCTGGCTCCGCTACTAGATGGACATATCGGGCTAGATATCGGCCATATCGATCGATATTTCGGTCCTTGTCGGATGATACATTTGAAAATGATATTTACAAAATGATATGTTATGTTTATATCGGTAGAGCCCCAAAAGTGACATATTGTCCTAGATTTAAAAGCTTGATCAAGGCAGTGCTAGTCCCTGTCACTTTGTTGATTATAGATGGTGAGTAGGAGACCCATCCATCTGTCTGCATCTCAACTTAATTACGATTCAAACTTACAATCTCATGACGCGTAAATTTGTTACACCAGAAAAGACGATTGACAGGGAAACTCAATTAATCCACTCACTATCACGCTCGATCGATGTTAACTAATCCGCGTGGGCACATCACACATTTAGTTAACCGTTCGTGAACGGCCCAGAAAGATCAAGCAAAGTTATATCACGCGTATGGCGAAATGAAAAGTTCTTCACTGAGTGAAACATATACTACTGAGTGATGATGATCAGCTGCTCAACAAATTCATCAACGAGTGAAACAGTGTGCTCTGTGTGTCTGCTGTAAAGTAGAACACACACTGTTATGCTAAGGTACAAGTGTCATCTAGGCTCTATACTGCCTGTGCTCTGTACTAGTGGAGTACGATTAGCGAATCATGCCTACGATAAACAAACTGTCCCTGAAATTTACCAAGTGAAACAGAGTAGCCTACGATGAAACACATATATTCAGTAAGTGGAACAGAGTGATCTACAGTAGACACATGGACTCAGTAAGTGAAACAGAGTAGCCTATCTAGGTACAACCAAGTGTCCAGTGCAACAGATGCACATGGACATCATCTACTATCTGTAATAAATGATACTAATTATTAGAAAATCATGTATACAATGAAATCGATGCTGCTACGGTATGTCTGCTAACTCTACTTCACTGCTCTAGGTGCAGCTGTGACGCAGCAGTAGCAGAGTATTCGTGCAGCTGCGACGTGGATAGCAGGCTGTCCAGGAAGTTCCAGTCGATGCCGGCCGCTCCCTGTCCCTGCTGCACGATGTCATAGCCCACGTCGCCACCACCGGTAACGGCGGTGGTCATCGGCGGGCTCTCAATGAGCTGCGGGATGTTGTTGAAAAGACTCTGTTTGGACTCCAGCACGTCGTCAGAGTACTGGATTCCCTGGCCGGGGAAGCCGAGGCCGCCGGCTCCTGTAGCTCCCACGGCGCTCTGAAGGTAGGGGAGGTCATCGCCTCGGCCGTGCAGCCAAGGCCTCGCGTCGTAGTAGCTCCCGAGGCCCGGAGTGGCAGCGTATGCAGGGAAGATGTAGGACGGCCTCTGGTTCGGGGTGGGCTTCTGGAACGCCCGGCACACCACCCAGCCTTCCTCCTGCACACCGTCAACATCCTCACCATCAACGCCAAATTCTCAAGAAGAAGCAGAGGAAGAACAAGTGAATTACGTACCTGTGTGGGGGCGTGCTCGTTGGTCTGGAGGCGGTACTCGTGGATGATCCAGTCGGTCTTCCTACCGTTGGGTGCCCGGCCCCTGTAGAACACCAGCGTCTTCCTCATGCCGATCACGCCGTGGCTCCGCGATGACATGACCGGCTTGTCCCTGCCGGTGGCCTTCCAGAACCCGGCCGTGGTGGCGCGGTTGGTGCGGGTGCCGCTGGGATACTTGCGGTCCTTGAAGCTGAAGAAGTACCACTCCGACGACTGCTCGTCCTCCGCCGCCACCTGACGCGCTCCCCGTCCTCCCCTGCCGCCGCCGCACCTCTCTGCACCATCCATTATTGTTAATATTCAACTTGAATCACCACCTCACTAGAACACTATGTATGTACTCCCTCAGTTCCAAAATACTACTCCTACTTGTCATGGTTTCAGTTCAAAATAGAAATGGAGAGAGTAAAATTACAAAACGAACTGCCAAAATTCAGATGTATATTTACCTTGGAGGTCCCATGGCTCTATCCGGTAGAGATCAACCTCCTGGATGATATCGAGGTCGATCTTTTGGGCGGCCACCTTCCTGGCCAGGTAGTACCCCACCAGCTCCTCCTCTGTGGGGTGGAATCTGAATCCTGGTGGAACACACGACTCCTCCTGCTGATGGTGCTGGTCCATTGCTAGCATCTACCTTCCTGCCTGGTAGCAAGCTAGCTCGATGTCTTCTGAACTGAAATCAAGCGCACAACCTTTTCAACTTAGTACTAGTAGATGCATGTGTGGAGGTGTATATATGTTGTATGCGTGTGGACCAACGAAGGTGAAAAGGATCTTTATAGATAGCTAAAGATCTAGAGAAGGATCATGGCTGCTGGCTGGGCGCACTCGTGCAACACTGCAATGAGAGGTGAGCACAGACTCTTGACAGCAAGCAGAGCAGAGCACACGTAGGTATGCGCACGCTCACATGAGCTGCTATTTATACTGTAATCTAGCTCTAGCACCCTATATAGCCCACACCAAATCTGTCTATCTATCTACAGCAATCATGTCCTGGATCTATTTTCTGAGGACAAAGTACAATTGTAATCTAGGCTGATTGCAAGCACTTGATGGCATGGAATGTGGGTAGTCTAGTATAGCTTGTTTGTAAAGTGGGAATGGAAGAAGGTAGAAGAGAAAAGAGGAATGAAAAGGACCTGCATATAGCTGTGAGAGTGAAGCTTTTAGGGGCATGAATGCAAACGCCAGCATGTTTCTTTGAGTGCACTTCAGGATTAGTCTCCCCTCCACACATCCACCACCACCTCTCTCCCTGTAGTTTCCATCATTTTTCTGCGCCGGCCTACTGGTACTAGACACGTACCCTACACTATGGTTAGAGAGAGAAGATTGGGTCTCTGGTCAATTCTGTGGTGGACTAGACGACTGAACTACAGGTATGTACGTAAAGGTCTCGCAGAGACGAATTTTTCAGGCTCAGCTCGACTGCATCGTCGTACTATGAGTACCAGCAGAGGAATATGGTTTCGGAGGTACATCCATGTACTATGACCAAGCAGGACTATGGTTGCAGAGACGAATTTCAACCTCAATTCAAGCTCAACACAGAGTACGTGCGGGAATATGGTTGTCACTTTAGCATGCAAGTGCATATTGTCCCCTCCTCTTCCCGTCTAGTAGCATATCCTAGAGCAATCTAGCTATACATGGAAGTACGTACTAGCTAGCTGGTGGTACCACACTGCACTAAGAGTAGCCGGGCTCATCGGTCGGCAATGACTCATGACTAGCTAGCGTGTACAGAACTCGCTGGTTGCCCTCAACCAAACAAAATAATTGAGATGCAAAGTACATAGGAGTACATACAAATAGAACCATATGATATCATAGGGTGGGGACTAACCAAACCGAGTAGAAGATGCAACTAAGCAGCTGGGAAACGAGGTTTAACAGCAGAGGACCACCAGAAGGTAGTTCTTGTGAGGCGCTCAATTGCAATTGCAGTACTAGTAAGTAAGAATGAGGTTGGTAGCTAAAGAAAGCTTGAAGGACTGGATTGGAAGCACGCACATCCCTGGCTGATCACATCCACCAGTCGATTTTTGCACTGACGGTGACGGGTTAGAGACACACATAGCGAGCAGGCCGGAGCCGGGCTAATCGATCTCTTCTACAAGTGAGTGAAAAGCCCTGGATTGCGCGTGGGGGTGGCTACACGGCTAGCCAGGGTGTGGTGGTGGTGGGGGTGGTGGTTGTCGATTTGGTCGGCTAAGAAGAAGAAGATGGACTAATTGGCAAGCAGCGACCACCCCCGCTCACTAATCCATGGAGTAGCATATTTCGGTTGTCTGTCGGTCTGCATCAGGCCCTCTCAACTGATCAAGTAGCTAGCTAGCTTTCCCGCCGCCGTTATATTGGTGTGCAAGAATGACTATCTATCTTCCCCGCTTGCCGAATCTATCCGTTGGAAGATGGTAGCTCGGGATATCTTCAACCGGTTTGGATGGCGGTCATGTAATAGGATAGGCAATTAGTTTTCCTATCTATTTTTAGCCAGCCGGTTGTGGCACCTTTCCCTGGCTAGTTTGTGTGTCTAGCCTCTTTTCGCTCTGTATGAGCTGCATTTATCTTTTTTCTTTCTTTAAGCTGGAGACTTTGAAACCTTGTTGGCATATTTTGTTATTTGGTTAATAAGATGGACGTATGCATCACTCTGATGCAGAGGCCGGGGAGCCCCCTTTTCGAAAAAAAAAATCTTCCCTGCTTGCAACACACGTTAGCCTAGGCCTAGCTCAATCTCACGTTGGTCTGGGACTCTGGGTGCAGATACAATGAGGAAATGTGGATATACACAAATTGATTCCTTGTGAAAAATCGGAGGCACTTACTGGTGGGCCTGCTGCCGGCGAGCGAATCATCCTCGGGCAGTGCGCAGCAAATCATTGCATCTCCATCCTGCCTCACTATCTCTTCCTTTTAGTGGTCATGTCCTACTGCCTTTATACAGCACTAGAAATACTACATAGCCACTATATACTGTACCGTATATTTGACGGTAGAATTTGTGAGTTGTCGCTGTCTGGCAATGCTTCTACTCAATCTGGGATTTACTTGCCAAGATTGTGCACATCATGGCATATGCATGCCCGTGGCCGCCCATTTCGATCTATTGATCAGGACATGTCGCTGCATGCTTCGTATCTTATGCATAGATTAGACGGATCCATACAACATTTGTTGCAAATTACGTACTCAAGTGACTTGAAAAGGTTCAAGCCTACCTGATTAGTTAATTTGAGCCGCCATCCGTTCATAATCTAACCAATTGTAGGACTGTATGGGCACCACCAGACAGAGAATAGTAGTGGATCAATAAATTAACAAGGGTTTTGCTGTTTGTCAGGAAACTTGCCCGAAGTTGCGATTTCAGTCAGTCGATTTTCCACACGTCGCAGGGACGCCGGCCGACGAGGCCCGGGACGTCGCAACAGGGGCATCCCAGTTGGAAGGGAGTCAGAGGTTGACGTGGGGCGTGGCCGGCTGTGGATGGTGGCAGCAGGCATCCTAGCCGGCGCTTGATCGTTCAAAGGTGGAAGAATTTGGCACGACCAAGAAGAAACACACCAGCCGTTAGATTTGAACTGACATGATTTTTTTTCATGCACCAGACCAATTGGCGCTCTCAAACAAAAAAAGCTGCAAAGTGCACTTCTGGGAAAAGGCAGCAACAAAATAAACAAATGGCTTAGGTCAGATAGTTAATTAGCGCTAATAGAAATCCAACAGTGGCAGATAAGGGTGCAACGTACGTACCACTGCATGCTGTGTGTATTGCATCCTACGTTACGGCTGGGCGGGTAGAATACACAAATCATAGTTAACTCGGTTTATAGTACATACTTGTTGAGCAGAGAAATTAGGGGGGAAAACTCACACACTTCGATTATGCTCTTGGCAGGGATATATACAGTTGGATGAGCTGCCGAGAGAGATCATGGGGAGTCCCACGTCCTGCGATCGTGCGCCACTACGGGGAGAGAACTGGCTGCACGATCGGGCACTACAGCTGACCGTACATGCTCGTACAAATACATCAGGAGCACGTACGGTGCAGGC